ATGTGTTGTAGATTACTACTAGCTGTTGATTTAGTCCACTGCTTTCATTATTTTATCAACTTCCTGATACAAAGCAGAACCACAGCATCACCAAAGCTTCCTCAACCATGCCTAGCAGATTTAACTGTGCTTTTAAGGACTAAAAGATGTAACTTAACTCCCCCAAATATAATTCACATCCTTGTGGCTATGCTATTCAAGCTTTAACCTGTATATTGCAAGTTCCGATGCAATTTCATCTAGATAATTTCAATTTCCATGGACTACATTTTCTCTGATGAACTTCCTAGACTTTGTGGAGGATTTTCAGTTCATCCCTGTAATTATTTAGGGCAGGCATGTCCAAAGTCGGTCCTCAAGGGAGCACAGCTGATTGCCTGATTTAGGGTATGCAATGAAAGGACAATATTGGAAGTAAGGGGCAAAAGTGGCAAAATTGGATTTTCTCAACTTTCTGTGACACAAAAGTCAGCTTGTAAGATGGAAAAATCAGTTTTCCCAAATGTTTGGTCTAAATAGGTTCATATCCAGCTCAGAGATATACTTTAGTGAGATGAAATCCAATAGTGAATGTTTATTTTTGTGTTTTATTCATCACTGAGCAAATTGGTTTGGCTGAGAGTAAAGTTAAGCTTTATAACTAATGTATTACTAGAGAGCTTTGTGTAAAAATGTAAAGGAAAAAAATATACTTTAATTTCCTCCTTCTGATCTATTTCCAGCTTCCGGAAAAAAGGCCCCAAAACGGTGAGTCCAGATCATACATTTTGATCTTTTCTAATGCCTCCGACAGTAAAATGGAAAACTAGAGCCCTAATTTAAATTTTGGGGATTTTAAATACAGTTTTTGTATTTTTAGTTTGTTATAAAAATGTATATATTTCAAAAAAGAAGTTTTAAGATGCATTTATCAAAGATGTATAACAAAAAAAAAAACCATATGATACTATCATTTAGAGAAAAATGGATTAAATCTAGATAAGGAACTGCTTGAATCTATAAAGACATCTATAACAATAAAAATAAGGCTTATTTCTATACCTTAATCTGGGTTCTGCAACCTGCCACTGCTTAGGGCATACATGGTGGCTCTGAATATTTTACTCTTTTTTTGTGTGTGTGTCCTGAGTGAATTTTTTTCTTAATGCCAGAAAGAACCAAACAGATTTTACTCTCACAAGTGGAGCATTATCGCTCTCACCATAGTGCTCTGCTTGATTTATATGTTTAAAAAGTTTTATTATGATTTATGTAGGGAATAATTTATGTTACAGGGTTTCTGTAGGTCATTAAAAATCATTAACAGTCATTAAATTATTATTTTTTAAATTAAGGCCTTAATTTGCATTAAAAATCATTAAATGTGTTTATTGTGGCATTCAAAATGCTTTATTTAAAAAAAAAATGTTTATAAGACAATTTTGTCAGACATATTATATCACAATATATTTGTGTGGAACTGCTTCCGGTTGATCGCAAAGCTCTATGTACAGAAAAGAAGAGTCGGAGAAAAAGCTAGAAAATGGGGGAAAAAGCACATTTCAACAAAAGTGGCTGGAAAACGAGAAATTCAGGACATGGCTGCAGCCTGTCAACTGGTACCTGTTGGTGGCATCAAAATTATCTCTAAGAGCAGTAAAAGAGCCTTAAAAAGCATTATGTTAGAGTTATTCATTCCTGTATAAACCCTGTGTTATGTGGACATAACAAAAGAAAAGGGAGAGAAAGTGAGAGAAGGAGAAGACAAAAGAGAGATAATGACAAAACATCTTCATCACCTTAAAAGAGAGATATAAAAAGAGATATATATTTGACTCAAGTAATAGTAATTGTAAATAAAAAACTGAGCATAGTTCTAAGAGTTTGTCTTATTTATTGTAGGGAAAAAACATCATTGAGTTTGTGGTTCTTTAAATTGATCAAAAAACAAAACATTTGTCACATTTGTTGAATTTATTCAATTAATCGAATGACTGTTTCTGTATTTTTTAACAGCTAGCAACTATTAATCTTAATCAAATTATCATTTCAATCATTTTTTTTCTTGAAGAGTGGTTCTTATTAAGGGATGGTGGCATAAATCCCTCTCTGGATTGATTACAGTTGCTGATCCTTACACTATATGTATCTGTATTGCATTCATTTTTCTTTAACTCTTTTTTTTTGTTCCCATTTGATTTTTGTTGCATTACAGAGACAGACCTCAGTGTATTTTAATGGTCTTTGGTGTGATAGAAAAAAAAAGAAAAAAAAGTGGTACGCATGATGAAGAGGAAGGATTCAGCACCCTTTGCTCCAATACTCCCAAATAAAATCCAGTGCTCTCAACTATCTTAATTAATGAGCAAACAGAGTCGTGAGGATAAAGAAACATGGCCAAAATATCAGGGAGTTTTACAGAAATATAGAGTTTGGTAATAGGATAATATGACAAAGTAGGAAGCGCTAACTGTAACACATCCAAACAGAAGACGTCAAAAATCTAGGAGGTAGAATCCATCAATTGGGCTCTATTAGTTGGTGAATTCTACAAACATGGCCTCTCTAAAAAGGCAAAAAACTAAGCTAGAGTATTTTTCAGAAAATGTCACAGGGGGCTTCCAATGTGGAAGAAGGGGTTCTACATCCCAGTAATTGTTCCATTCCCCATAAAACATGGTGGTGGCAGTGTCATGCTGTTGGGAAGCACCGTTTGAACAGGAAGGCTGTAAAAACAGGTTGAGAAGATGGACCATTCTGAGAGGAAAACAAGGGCTCCAGAAGACAACACTGAATAGCTAAATAAAACACACTTAAATATATATTTTCTATTTTGTTTATTCAGAATTTGGGCCGTTTTGCTCAGAATTATTTTTGTTTCAAGATGTGCAAAGCCTGTAGATACAATCAAAACAATTTCCAGAGATTTCTGAGTAAAACGGTTTAAAAATCCAAAGATCCCAATAAAATATATTTAAATTTACAGTTAAAACATTGCAAAGATGTGACTCAGTTAAGGAGTTAGTGAAACTTTTGCACATTTAAAAACTAACATAAAAAAGAAACTTTCCATGCCGTTGAGATTTTATTTAAAATACTTTTTTTATGTGTCAGGTCCCCCAGAGAAACCACCGATGCCTCCAGCTGCCTCACAGGTAAAATCTCTTTCACCTGACAGCTCATATATTAACCAATAATCTGTTTTCTTTATTTGGCAAATTAATTGAGATTGCCTTTATGCTGTAATGATAAAATGCATACACTTGGTCTTGCCCTTGCAGCCTCGGCCCACAGCTGAACTGGACCGGTCTGGAGACGAGGTCTATACTGCCGTCATGGCCATGGTGAAGCAGGTGGTGCAGCTGAAGAATAACGTCAACATGCTTCCTGCCTCGGAGTATCCCACCGCCGTCAAGGTACACCCAATTATGCGTCTTGGTTACTCCGTACTCCTCATCAGCAGGAGTATATCATACAATCGAGTGCTAGTGAAGATTCTCAGCCATCCAGGTCATAGTCATTCCAAAAAAGAAAAAGAAAAAAAACAATCCACTGGACTTTCTCCCATCCAGGAAGCTTTTTTCAATTTAAAATGTCCAAATTAGCGCTGAGTTCGAGGCTTTATAGACTGGACAAAAACCAACACCTTAGGAAACATGCAAATTGAACCAGAATAACAAGTCTTAGGAATGGGGAGCCGTTTGGGTTGTTTGTTAGCCTGCAATACCAAATACGGGCCTACGCCTCTGAAAGGGGGTTGTTAGGGGCAATTGTTGGGCTGGCTGAACAGGCGAGATGTTTTGGGCACCCGTATGGCGTTGGGGGTTGCAATGATGCCCTATGGGTCATACCTGTTCTTCTGGTTCAATTTGCATGTTTTCTAAGCCAAAGCAAGGTTTTAGGCTTCTATATAAAGCTTTGAACTCATGCCATTTCCAACATTTTGAATTGAAAAAGCTTCCTGGATTGGAAGAGAAAAGTCTTCAAACTTGGAAACAAAGTCCAGTTGATTATTTTATTTTTTTTTTTTACTTTTTTTGGAAAAACATTCAATTGGTGCACTAAATCATCATCTTATTCCTAAATTTGTTCAACGCTGTCTGCAGGCTGTAGGAATCACTCTGCGCAGCCTGATTCAGAAGGTTGATGAGATTCTGCCATCTCTTCATTGTTCCATCACCACAGAGGTAAGCAACTCACACCTCTTCATTCCGACCTCTCATCTATTAAACCTGTCTGCTGTCATTTCAACAGCTACAGTCTGGTTTTCCTTTGGGCGATGGTCACCTTTACTATGATAAGTACTTTAAGAAAAGGAGGTTTCGCTTTGTGCTGTAAGCATGAAGGTGCCACAACTGTCTATTCTTAGCTGAAGTGGAAATAAACATGCAAAGTGATACTTATGTTCCTCAACTAAATGTTAATCCTGAATAAAAACAGTTCTCTCTTCTCTTAAGTAAGTGAATGTAAAGAACTCAAATAGGGGGATATTTCATGAGACAATTGTCATTGGTCATCTTAAGACTCTTTCATGAGAACCAAAATATCAAGTGAGAAATCTCGGGGTAATCATGGACTCAGACCTGAATTTCAACTGCCATATTGAGTCCATTACATCAGTGGTCTACTACCATCTAAAAAACATTACTAAAATAAGAACATAGTGTCTAAAACAGACTTGGAGAGATGAATCCATGCATTTGTCTTCTGCAGGTTAGATTATTGTAACGGCCGGTCCTCTGGCTGTTCCTAACAAGCGGTTAGACAACAGCAGTTTATCCAAAACTCTGCTGCTCAGGTCTTGACCAGAACCAGGAAATACGACCATATAGTCCAGTGCTGTGGTCTCTAGACCTTTGGATTGATTTTTATTGATTTTTATTTTTTTTTACTTAATTGAACTGAAAAAGACCAAGTTGGAGGAAAAGACTGCATTAGTTGAAGCGATTGTAAGTCTTTGCAAAAAGGTTGCTACATTTTTGTGTCTTAAATAAATGTGGATGTTTTTTTCAAAACTTAAAGTTAAAGGAAAAACTCTTAATACTAGCTATTAATGATTGTTTAATTGTTTAAAGGTAATGCACATGCACAACCCTGTACCCGCTCCCGAGAGGGAACATGTAATTTTTTCCATGTAAATTCGTGCGAGAGCGTGCACAATCCCATTTCTCCTCATGCACGCTCTGTTTAAAATTAGCTGTTCTCATAGATCATAAAGGCTTACTGTTCCGGAACGTCCGTCCTAACCCCTAAATCCCTCAATCACTATATAGAGCACGGACTATATAGTGGACTTAATAGTGAACTCAGTTAACTTACCGGGCATGTAACTCCTCCTCCACTTCACAATGCCTGCGCCATCTTTTTTATTAGTCGCCAGCAAATCCCATAATGCTTTGCATTCCGGGATATATATATATATATATATATATATATATATATATATATATATATATATATCGGCCTGCTCTGCTGCCTTTTTTTTTCTCATAAACTTCATAAAAACTTTTTCCTCTTACAACCCTCTGCCATTTTCAAAGAACCGCAGTGAGAAAGGTGAGCTTCAATGACTGTCTGAAACTGCAGCTCACCACAGATGTATGCCTGAAAGTGCGCATGTGCAGAAAAAGATAGCTAACTGAGGAAAAGTACATACACTGCAAAAATGATGTAGAAATTAGCAAAAATGTCTTAAATTAAGTGTATTTACCCTTAATTTTAGCAGGTTAATAAGATTAATTGCCAATGGAATTACTATTTTTTACACTAGAAGTAAGATAATTAGATAATATGCACTAGAAACATTTATTCTAATTTAATTTTCTAAGTTCCATTGGCAAAGTGGCTCACTTACCTCCTCAATTCAAGAACAAATGTTATTGTAAGAAAAAAATCATTTGAGATTTCGGATTTTTGCAGTGTAAGACGGCCTTACGTAAACTTATCACCAGAAAGATTGACAATTAGGAGGACCACTTATTTAGATGATCCACCTGGAAATAAAAGATCATCCTCTATACCTTTTAACATCATATAAGCTGACATTTAAACAGATGTGTGTTGAGTTTATGAGAGCCACTGTTAAAAAAAAATGATACTAATATTTTAGAGTATGAAACTGTCCTTTGATTTCCTCCTGGCTCAGATTGAGGGCACCAAGAAGCTGCTGAACAAGGATCTGGGGGAGTTGATCAACAAGATGCGGCTGGCCCAGCAGAACTCTGTAACGTCCCTGAAGGAGGAGTGCCAGAAGCAAATGCTGGCAGCTGCTCACACGTTGGCATTGGACTCTAAAAACCTGCTGGATGCCGTGGACCAGGCCCGGGTCAGAGCCAACCTGGCAAAGCCCAAACCCAACTCACAGGACGCAGGAGGAGAAGATTCTCCACAATAAGGGAAAAATTCACATCCCAGCTTGACGCAGAGTCGATTTTTTAAGAACATTTGGAATTTATTCTGCATAGGCTTCGTAAATACAGACACACGCCCACAAACTTAAACTGAAGGAAAAAATATTATAGAAAAATGTGATATTTTATCTAGAAGCAGCCGTTTTATTCTACATTTCGTTTTTAAATTTTGAACACTGTGATAATGAGCACCTGTTTGACTTATCAATGAAAAAATATTTCTTCAATACTGATGTTTAACTGCATATGTTTTTCTGCAGGCAGAGTTGTGAATGGAGCATTTTGTATATACATTGAATTAAAGAAAATTGTATAGTGTTGCCTTTCTTTCAGTTACTTTCATACATTTTCGCTCATGAGACATTTCCTCTGCACAGATGAAGCCAATGCAAAATTAAGTTTAAAAAAAAATAAAGCGAACCACATCTATTCTTAAAGTACTAAAACAAAAGATTTTTAATAAATGTTTAATATAATATATATATATAAAAAATTTTTTTGCCTTAAATTGAAAATACATTCAAGAAAAAATATATCTGAAAAAAATTTTGTTAAGTTAAATAATTTGCACTGTAATTGTTTGCATCAATTTTTTTGTATATTCTGTTTTTTTTATTTTATCCAATATCTAGAAAAAAAATTGTAAACCAGTATTGCTTTTAGCAATTTTCTTTTATAGAAAAGAGGGGATAGAGATTTATAATAAATTAGATGAATGAATCAACAGTGTTTATAACAACAAGACAAGTAATCGGAAGGAACGATTTTTAAAAAAGCACGCATTCTTTTATGTCAACAAATGAAAAAAAAACAACATATTAATACCATCTCTGGAAGAAAACAATATTATGCATGAATAGCGGATAATATGTCAACAACTTCCTGTTTCAAAGGTAAAGTAAAAAAAAACCTTGTGGTAGTCCTTCAGATATTTCCACTGACAGCCCACCAGTCTGTGAAAGGGTTATACGCACAATTCTAATGATAGGAGACAGATTCCAGTTCTGTCTCTACCAAAGCTGAAAGAAAATATTAAAACTAAATAGGTACTTAATTAATCCCCTGAGGAAAATGTAAAATTAAACCGACATAAAGCAAATAATACAAATCTATAACGTCGAATATAAGCTGCTAAAGGGGGAGGGATTTATCATTTAGCTATTTTATTGTTTGGTTTTAGTCTCTACTGGCCTTTTATTTTGAAATTTGTTAAGCAGGAAACTAGAGAAGGAAAAAAATATGCAGATTATTTCATGATAAAATTGCATTAAATGCAAAAGAAAATATTATATTAATGCACTTTAATGGGAAGAATCAGTCTCTGGTACTACTTTATTTTGCAATAACAACTTTAGTGAGATTTCCATTTAAATCTGAGCCAGTTCAATGTGTGGTTCCAGCTTTAGGTGTGATGCTACAGTATCTGAGCAGTCCACTCATGAAGTTGAAAAACTTTAATGTTGGACGATTAAAAGAAAATCAAAGGCTGAAACATCTTCGATCTTTGTGAGTAACACTTTTTCTCCTTGAGAGGCATGAGCACAACCTTCTTTTTGAATGTTTTTGTTAGTCTTTGCAATCCAGCAGATACTAGAATTTCACATTTAAACCCATGCTTATTGCAAGTGTGTAAGGTACAAAGTGAGACCTTGTGGTGGGGTGACTGTGGTTGGCAGCCGCATCACTTCGGCATCTTCATCATAATCATAGTTGCTGAACACAGTGTGCTCTATAATCAACACTGTAATGTTTGTTCATTCTTAGATAAAATCAATACAATTTTCTATTTTCCACTGAGGCCCGGCAATAACTTTTAAATGTGAGAACCAAGCTACCCCTGGGTCATTGGTTTTCTTTTTGTTTTTTTACGTCCCTGAGTGATGGTCGTCTGCTTTAGGAGTTTTCAGCATGCTTTGGAAAGACAGATGAAATAATCATCTTATTTGAAAAAAAAAAAAAAAAGACTTTTCTTTGGAAAATCTTTTTTTTAAATATCATTTAAAAATAGAATAAACTGAAGCCATACCAGGATGTACATTTTTTTGTGGTTATCAGATGATGGTTATTCTATTCCAACCTTTAGAAGCCAGAATAGGCCACTTTTATCCCTTTAAACACGTTTAACTCATAAAACTGAGAATGCAAGGAAAAAGTTCATACTAATAGAAATACCAATTTGAGACCTAAACTCATAAACACGGTTATTCAACAAAGATTTTACTATAATTTAAAGCCAATTTGTCGAGGACTTTAAACAAAAAGGAAAAAAGCATCATGAAAGATCAGAGCCTGGAGAGGCAGAAAAAACCCAAGCCATTTTAAGTTTTCACATCTAGTGAGGATGTGGGGAGCAATGCCACCTGCTGGTGAGGTAACAACCCCCCACCTACCAGGGTATTTCAGAGCATTTCTTGCTTCCAATACAAATGAACAATACAAATTAACTAAAGGCTGCTATTAAACAACCTGGGTTTCTGTTATACCTCAGCAAAACCACAGACTGAACCCTGACCTTTCAAGATGTGGTACTAAATAAATACCATGAGAATATCCAGTCATATAATCATCTTTAAAGGAGACCAATTCTGTGCCCCAGAGGACAACAATTAGGAAAAGACTTAATTAAGCAGCTGGATTAAGCTGGTAAGACAGCATTATTCATCTAATTTGAAACCAGTCTTGTATTTTGTTGAGAAACACCTTCATGGTTTTTCCCCCGGGTCCGTTAATTCGGGTGCAGGTAACTTAACTGAGATGGAGTGTTATTAAAAGATTGTGGAGAAAGAAGCTTCGATTGGCCTTTGCAAAGGGAAAAGAGCATCAGCAGTATGCATCTGCGGACAGCAACTCTGACCCCCCCTGCAACACCGGCTCTTTTTATTATCTTAATAGGGGAACATCTTACAGTTTCACACAGACAGTCCCACAGAATGATCATACTCTCTACTACCTATCTCCATGTATGGAGTTGCTTCCTGCCTTTCTGGTTCGTTCTGTGTGTGTCGGAGCAAGGTCATTCTCTGCCTTCCCATCTGCACCTGTTTTTTTCTACTCTCTGTTCTGTAAATCTGCCCTGATACATATCAACAATAAGTTTTGCTGCAGCCTTTAACTTAGCTCTTTACTTCTTTTAGCTTAAAACATGTATATATATATCTTCAGTTTACATGGGCAGACACATCACTTGTACCCCTTTCCAACTTGCAGAAAAACCTGTTTAAACCCAGGAACAATCGTCTCTTAGTAGCAGTGGGAACAGCTCACTGATGTGTGTCTACCCGGGTTGACCCACTAAATGATGTGATACCACTGAGCTCAACGTACGGATGTCAACACACAGGGCCAGTTACTTCTGAACTAACAGCTTTTATTAGTTACTGTTCTTCAACTGTCATTTTGCTTACCAAAAAAATAAATAAAAAATACTTTTAATAATGCATATAATTTATCTGGGAACTAGGAAGTTGGAAAAACATAGTTTCCCAAATGAAAATCTAGTGTTTTGCATGTGGGCGTTCATATGTCATTGTTGGTGTATGGCCAATACATCCACTATTATATAACTCATGCAAGGGGGGCGTTGCCACACCTTGGGACCCAATTATTGAAAAATGCATGCTAAAG